CGATTACCCTCGTTGTGTCATCAACTCAATAGTCTCTCCTCTAAGTTACAATACATTGCCGTTTTCTCAAATAGGCACTGTGCCTATTAGAGAAAACAAAAATTTAATAGCAAACATATTCATACAAACCCCCAGTCGATCGAGTAGTAAATACCCACTATAACACGGTCCGTAAATTTACGTCGTGATCCGACAAGCGCTTATCTAAACCGCCCGTAATTCCAAGTGGAAATGGCAGAAAAGTGTTAACACACTAAGGACAGCCCAGGCAGGATACTATGAACTGGCGCCCAAGACTACCAAACAATCTGCTAATAGCTGAACCCCTGAAACTTCAGCATGGGGCTGAACCTCTGGTTGGTGAAAGGGGTACCACCAACCACACAAAAACTGAGAATAGATGTAATGATAGATATATACACCTCAACACAGAAGGGGCAACCACTAAGGCAGACCCCCCCCCTCACCAGACAGACCCCCCCCTCACCAGACAGACCCCCCCTCACCAGGCAGAAAATCAAAAACAAAAGCAAAACCCCCGCAAGAGGATAATGTACACAAGGGGAACAGAGTCGGCCACTGTAAGAGGTGAAAACAAGCTGTGCAGTACCCTGCACCCCTACCAGTGATGAAAACTACCCCCAACCCAGAGGCAAACAGAAGCAACATGGACCCCAGTTGACTCCAAGGGAGGCCAAGCACCGAGCAGTAAGACACAGCGGAAGTAGAACCCGAGGTGACTTGTGGAAGGTGGCCCCAAGCCCCAAGGGTAATACTTACAGGGCACCTAGGAAAGGTGGCCCTAGGCATATGCAGCCCGAGTACCGAAGAATATTACTGCTGGCTCACACACCACCAGTAGAGACAGTCCACGCCACAAGGCACAGAATCTGAGACAAATCGCTGGAGTCAAAAGAACAAGACCACGCCAGTAGCACATCAGCCAGGGAAATGAAGGGTGGATCACCGGCGTGGGTGTCTGGGACTTCCACTTCCCCCTCCCGGGGAGGGGAGGGTTGCTCAGACAGCAGTGCGGTAACATGATGACATCATGTTCGTTTCCTAATTTTCCTTTGGGGAGTTCTGTCCACTCATTCGGCTTTCAGTAGCAATAGTTTCACCAGAATAGGAGTTTGTTTTGGAGCGCCTACCTTTCTGGGTGCCAGATCCGGTCGATGGCAGACATAGAATGCTCCCAACCACACGGGGAGGGGAGGGGGTTCTATAGGCCATTGCTCCTCGTGCCTCTCTTGAGGGGCCCAGGTTCTGGCTCATGGTCCCTGGTAGGCAAGAACTCCAAGCACTTTGATTGATGCCAGAAAATTATTCATATCCATTCTGCCTGGATAGCTCCGGGGAGCTGACGGGGCTCCCCTCAGAAACAATTTTTCAGTGTCAGTAGTTAACAAATGGAATGCAGTAGGCAGTGATGTGGTGGAGGCAGACTCCATACACAGTTTCAAATGTAGATTTGATAGAACCCAACAGGCTCCAGAATCTGTACACCAGTTGATTGACAGTTGAAAAACGGGACCAAAGAACCAAAGCTCAACCCCTACAAGCACAACTAGGTGAGTACTGGAGGCAGAACTCCTAAACCACACCCAGAGTGGATGGGGACAATGCATGAAACCCTGACTTAGTTTTAGTGGAAGCTACAGGACCCCTAAAGTATTCACTTGGGTTCAGTTCTTGCACCAGTGATGTTTATTGTCTACATAAATGATCTACCAGTTGGTATACAGAATTATATGAACATGTTTGCTGATGATGCTAAGATAATAGGAAGGATAAGAAACTTAGATGATTGTCATGCCCTTCAAGATGACCTGGACAAAATAAGTATATGGAGCAGCACTTGGCAAATGAAATTTAATGTTAATAAATGCCATGTTATGGAATGTGGAATAGGAGAACATAGACCCCCACACAACCTATATATTATGTGAGAAATCTTTAAAGAATTCTGATAAAGAAAGAGATCTAGGGGTGGTTCTAGATAGAAAACTATCACCTGAAGACCACATAAAGAATATTGTGCAAGGAGCCTATGCCATGCTTTCTAACTTCAGAATTGCTTTAAATACATGGATGGCGATATACTAAAGAAATTGTTCACGACTTTTGTTAGGCCAAAGCTAGAATATGCAGCGGTTGCGTGGTGCCCATATCTTAAGAAGCACATCAACAAACTGGAAAAGGTGCAAAGACATGCTACTAAGTGGCTCCCAGAACTGAAGGGCAAGAGCTACGAGGAGAGGTAAGAGGCATTAAATATGCCAAAACTAGAAAACAGAAGAAAAAGAGGTGATATGATCACTACATACAAAATAGTAACAGGAATTGATAAAATTGATAGGGAAGATTTCCCGAGACCTGGAACTTTAAGAACAAGAGGTCATAGATTTAAACTAGCTAAACACAGATGCCAAGGAAATGTAAGAAAATTCACTTTCGCAAACAGAGTGGTAGACGGTTGGAACAAGTTAGGTGAAAAGGTGGTGGAGGCCAAGACTGTCAGTAGTTTCAAAGCGTTATAGGACAAAGAGTGCTGGGAAGACGGGACACCACAAGCGTAGCTCTCATCCTGTAACTAAACTTAGGTAAAAAAAAAAAAAAAAAAAAAATTACTTGAATTCTAGGCTACATTACTTTTAGTATACTGTGGCCTAGTGGTTTAACCCTTAAATGGCGCATAGCTATATACCACTTGACACCCACAGGCGCATACCAAAAAAAAAAAAAAAATTATTTTTTCTTCCTAACCTGTTAATTTGTGTTCACTGATCACGGGAAAAATAATAAAAAAATCGTAAGTGGCATATATTGCCCGCTATAGGGAGGGGAAGTCTGGCAAATTATAGGCGCTGACTCAGCGTGCGTCCCAGGCGGTCTGTTGCTCGCCAGCTGTCAGGCCAGAGTTTCCACAAGGAGATAATTACCTAATTATTTCAATGTCTCCGATTGATTTTTCGTAGTTTTTTTGCTGTAATATTATTCAATAGTGTGTAGTGTGATATATTTATATAATAAAATGAGTGAATCATCGCTGTACCCTAAAATATGGTGTGCATATTGTTGATTCAATTATGTTCATCAAACAGTGAACAAATACTTTGTCAGTTATTACACTATATACATAGATTATATATAAATATCTGCATGTTTTGTTCACCATGACAAACCACTAAGTTGGTATGCTGAGTGGCAGTGGCAGTGGCAGGCAGTGACTGGCTGCCACTGGCTGCCACTCCCTCCCTCACCTCACCTCACTTGACTTGCCACCATTCTCCACCCACCATACTGTTTTTGCTTTTATATACAGACGTTATATATAAGTATTTACATGTTTTGTTTACTATAACTGTACATCTAAGCTTGTATGGTGAGTAAAGGCACAGAGACATAGCTACTCACACAGTCAGCTGGTGGCGGCCGCCCTCAAGGCCAGACGCACTAATATTTCTCCTACAACAATACTGTTTGTGGTGTTATTACGCTATATACACACATTATATATAAATATCTACCTGTTTTATTCACCATACTTGTACAAGTAAACTGGTATGGTGCCCAAAGACCATCGTGGTCATCAGTAAACAACATGATAAGTCCTGCAGACGACGCTCCTCCCTCACCAAAATGGCGGTTCCCAACCTCCTACTCTCGCTGTTATCTCATACTATACACACGTTATATATAAGTATCTACATTTGTGTTCACCATAGCGAACCACTAAGCTGGTATGGTGAGTGCAGTCAATAAAAGTGACTATTAATAGAGTGTCTATTAATCTTGTTTAAATTACTAATCAAGCTGTCAATGTAATCAATCAGAGCTTTAATATAACAATGTGCTTTAATATACTTATCTCTCTCATCTCATTTTTCTCTTGTAATGTATCTTTCATTTATCAATTCTGATTGAACTTACCTACTTAATATTATCTGCTAGATTAAGGACCTGCCCGAAATGCTGCGCGTACTAGTGGCTTTACAAGAATGTAATTACTGTACTATCCAATGTATTCTCACAAACCCAATGTACCTTCTTGTATATATATAAATAAAATAAATAAATAAATAAATAAATAAAAGGTGGCCACACACAGTCAGAAGACAATGCCACCACCCTCCCTCCTACAGCATTACTCCTCCCTCCATGGCGCACAGCGCCAAATATCACCACAATCCTGCTATTATCAGAACCCTGGTCAGTTTTATCACAGTCAGGGGTCTTCTGTAATAATATCATCGCTACATAATAGCATGAACAAGTATATTATGGCATTTTTAGGCGATGCTGTGGTCACAAGCTGAACAGCAGTGCTGTGAGCTCATGCTGCGTGCGTCAGGCTTGGTAGCTCACTCAATACTGAGGCCCCTAACACCCTGGAGTTTGGCCCACGATTTTTTTTAAAAATGGCGTCTGTTTACAAGAGCCCTGATGAAGGTGTGGTGAACCCCGTGTATACGCGGGCTGTTTAAATCTTGCGTAGTACTCCAAAGCATCACATGATGCAATGCGCAATTTACTGCAAGTTGGTCAAAGCATCATATGATGCGATGCGCAATTGAAGGGTTAAGGCGTGTGCTTGAGAGTGCAGTGTGCAAGTTCGATTCCTTCTCATGGTACTTACTTATTTTCTCATTAATACAACACGTTAAATTATACTTATAGTGTAATTTCTTTGAACATTATTATTATTATTATATTATTATTATTATATTATTATATTATTATTATTATATTATTATATTATTATTATTATTATTATTATTATTATTATTATTATTATTATCAGCCCAAAATGCTGAGTGTTAGTGGCTTTGAAAGAATGTATGAACGCCAATATTATGTACTCTCAGAAATCCAATGTACCTCCTTGTATATAAATAAACAAATAAATTATTATTAATACAGAATTATTATTATGATGCTAATGAAAACTTATACTTACTACAACTAAACACTGTTTTTATACAACATAAAAGACTTACGTGAGCAAAAGTCTCAAATTTGTCATATTCTTTAAGGAAGCAGAAAAGCTGCATTGAGATGGACGAAGCAATCAGCAAGAGGCACATAGTAAAGAGAATTAGGCTGCCTAATTTTTTTCCAGGACCAAAAATCTTATAGACGAAATCTTCCAAGATTGGGGAGGCCTTGATCAGCCGCACAATGCGCAGGACCTGAAACACACAATACAGAGCTGTTATATTCAGACATTCGTATGAATACTGTTACAATGTGGAGAGTAGTTTAACCACTGTGCTGCGCCAACCGAGAAATCTCGTTCTGAAAGTTGTACTATTTTTTTTTAATTAGGCTGTATTTTAATGTTTTTTTATAGTTTTCATCACTCTTTGTGTTTTGGAATGAAAATAGTTGAGTTTGGAAATATTTTGACATTAACTTTACCTGAACATTTATAAAAACAACAAAAAAATGTCCTTAATAATTGCACCATGAAGTTTTTGCCAAAAACAGGTGCGCAGTGCAGGGGTTAAGAAAAATTTAGTTGCATACCAAACTTATCATGGATACCTTAAACACAATTTTGGTTTTACTCTTTCTTACAGGTAAGGTGATGTTGTAAGACTTTTGTATGAATGGCTTTACCTTACATGTGTTGTTGTAAGCCTCTTGAATTTATGGTTTTACCTAACATGTAATGTGATGTCATAAGACTCTTGTGTGAATGGCTTTACCTTGCATTCCATTTACAAGACTTAGGTGTGAATGGCTTTACCTTACATGTACTGTTATGTTGTAAGACTCTTGTGTGAATTGTTAGGAATATATGGGTCCAGAAATATAATTAGATGTGGCAAGTAAATAGTTAAAAACAATATAATTTTGCATATCTTTTGCTATATTTCTTGAATAATTTGTATATGTTAGCTTATTTATTGTTTAGCATTAAGTGTTTACCTCATTCAACCTAAAAATAAATTAAAACTGCGTAGTTAACACTTTTGTCTGGCGGCAACGCAATCTGTGTCAATAAATAAATTGACGGATGTCCACTGGTGACACATGTTGCGTCACGCTCATGGGTAACGCTTGGCCGACTTCGGCTTTGCTGCTGGGGGGGGGGGGGGATGTGGTGTTTTGGACTTTATATGCATATACCCATGTAGGGAATTCTATTGTGAACAAATTGATAAGAAAATGAACAATGTAGCACGGCCAGATAAGAAAAAACAAATCCCTGGCAAGCAGACACATGGACCAGCAGGGAGCCCAAACCAGTCAGTCGTCGAGGTAAGCCAGAACCTGAACCCCTAGCAGACACAAACGGGTCACCACCACCCGTTTAAGGCACGTAAAAACATGAGGCTCCAGATTCAAGTTGAATGGAAAGCAACGAAAGTGGTAAGTTCGCCGCCCCACAACAAAACCGAGCTAATCTCTGAACCCTGAATGAATAGGGACGCATCAATACATGTCCCAGAGGTCTAGGGAAACTATCCAAGCACCCGGCTCCTAAATCAGCCAGGCCTGGGACAAAGTGGTCATCCAAAAGGAGGGAAAAAAGACAGTCACGTTTCAGCACTGTATATAGACGGGAAACCCACCTGAGGGACAGGGTCATTTTTACCACGGCCATGCGTATCCACTCCAAGATGACCTGACGGAGCGCAGGGGAAGAGACCTGCCCTGCCAGCCCCGAACCCCCTGAAGGAGGAGGAGCCACCCAACACCACTGTAGGCCAGAGGAGATGATGCAAAGCACCCACGAATCCTCCCCTTCGCCCCATCAACAGGACGAACTGCTAAGAGGGCACTAGCACCCAAGCGGGGTAAAGGGGACCACAGCCCCCAGATCACCACCTCCCCGGTCCCGGGATCCTTCAACTTGGGACCTGCGTTCCAGCAACCTAAACTGAGTATGCAATGCAGACGCTTCCTGTATCCTAACAGTAATGTCATTAGAATAGTGGTGACTGTCATTCTGAGACAAGGGCACAGAGCAACCTTCAAACCAGCACGAGGTGGGCTGGAACTCGGAAGATGCATCCGTAGGTTCACCGAGCCCTGACAGGGTTATCCAGGGCCCGTAGGCTGACTTATGGGAAGCCCGGGCAAGATGTTGCTAACTTGTTAGACCCAAAGCTAACAAGGGGGATGATCCCAACACTGAAAATCCTGCAACGTGTACAATCATGAAGACCTAGCAGAGGGCCACCAAAATATCATAAGTGGACCTATAGCCACTGCAGGCAGACCCCCCACCAGGCAGACAAAACAAAAAGTAAAAGAAAAACCCCACAACAGTACAACGGCACCAGGAAAAACAGGAACCGGCCACTGCTATAGGTAGGCAAGCTGCACAACACCCTGACGCCCCAACCAGCAATAACACCACTTCCTACCCAAGGCCAAACAATGGCCACAAATACCCCAGCAAGCCCCAAGAGCAGGGTAAAAACCATGCAGCAAGAACCCCTATGGAAACAGTTCCCGAACACACCAGGAAAGATAATCCTGACATGCAAGCGTAGTACTCACAGGGCACTTAACACTTTCGTGCCATTTCCACTTGGAATTACGGGCGTTTTATTTAACCGCTTGTCGGATCACGACGTAAATTTACGGTCCGGTTTAAAATATTTGTAAAAAATCCAGTTTAAATCCGATTTACTTTGGGTTTGTTTCAAACTGCGCGCCATGAAATTCCTGTTCTCTCGGGTAGGCCGCAAGTCACGTCGGCCTACTGGGTCACGTGACAGGCCCATTGTTTTGTTGTCACGTGGAGCGATCGGATCTCTCTCCCCTCGGCCGCCAAACTCGCACGTTTTCAAGGATTATTACCCGTTTCTGTGTGTTTGCAACCAACTAAATTCATCAATAATGGATCCAGCACCAGGCCCAAGCGGTGTTTCGGCTACAGGAGGCTCAGATTCAAGTGGAAAAGACAGGATTACCGCCATCTATAGGTTTGCTGGTGTGAGGCTCACTCCCACCAAGATTCCCAATGTCTTGGATGCCTTTGGTCAAGTTGAAAACGATGGAAGTGATGCAGAAGGTGAGGATGTAGAAGAAGATTTTGAAATTGGGGGCCGTAGACCCCTTGGGGATGACTCAACAGAGGAGGAGACTGAAAGCCAAACTGAGGAAGAGGAGGAGGGGGCACCAGCACCGCCGCCTCGCACCACAAGGCGCACACGTGGTGCGTGCACTCCTAAAATCCAGCTAAGTAAACGACATCCTACTCGTCGTTTGAAAATAACCCCAGTTGTTGATAGTGGTAGTGATTCTAGCTTTGAAATATCAGGTGAGGATGAACCTAGTGACGAAGATGAGGCACCCTAGCCTCCTCGCAAGCGTACGTGTCCGGTACGTACTCGCAAGCCTGGGGCCAGTGGTGGGTGGCTTGAGGACAATATTCCACCAGTGATCGATGATTTTACTGGAAGCCCAGGCCTAAAGATTACAAAACCAACTAATGTACTTGGATATATTCAGTTGTTTATTACTCGTGCGTTGATTCATTACTTGGCATATGAAACCAATCTGTACGCTTTACAAATATTCAACCTGGCTAACGAAAATGTCGATGATATCTGGAAACAGGTGAAGTTGAAAGAAATGGCCAGATTCTTAGGACTGTGTATGTTGATGGGAATAACCAAAAACCCCACTATGCACATGTATTGGCAGACAAATAAACCATGGCATACAAGATTCTTCAACATATTTATGACGAGCAAAAGATTTCAACACATAGGTCAGTTTTTTCATGCGTTCAACAGCAATGCGGTGCCAGTGAACAATACAGATAAATTGATCAAAGTGAGACCAGTGATGAACTACCTAAGACACCGTTTTCAAGAAATTTATTACCCAATGAGAGAATTATGTTTGGATGAAGGCACAATGGCATGGCGAGGCCGGCTGTCGTTCAACGTGTACAATCCAAGCAAACCAGACAAATATGGCGTCAAATTTTATATGCCAGCCGAATCAACATCTGGCTACATTTATTCATTTGAGGTTTACTCTGGCATTGGTAGAACAATCATTGAAACAGTTACTGGTTTGATGCGGCCATTGTTGAACAAGGGGCACCACCTCTATATGGATAACTATTACAACTCAGTTACCCTTACAGAGAAGTTGCGAGAAGTAGGGGTCTACACCTGTGGAACAATAAGACTCTTACGTGGCGCCCCAAGAGACTTGCAACAAATAGCGAAGAGTAAGATTGATGTGGATACCACAGTCTACCGCCGCAAGGACAACACCTTCATTCTGCTGTGGAAAGACAAGCGAGTTGTCTCTATGATTACCAACCTACACAATGCAGACACAAAGAAAGTTCAGAAAAGAAAACGAGTTCGCAGGCCAGATGGAACAGTAAGACTACAGCAGGTTGTGGTGAACAAACCACAGGCAATTGTTGACTACAATAAGTTCATGAAGGGTGTTGACTTCTTTGATCAAATGGTAAAGTATTACCATTTCGCCAGGAAATGTCACAAGTGGACCAAGAAAATAACATTTTATTTCTTGCAAATGGCATTGCAAAACGCTTATGCATTGTACAAGGCCAACACAGATGATCGAAGGAAACTAACTCTGCTCCAGTTCCATGAAGTTGCTATTTGGTCTTTATTGAAATTTGACAAGGCAGAGTGGCCTGCAACAACTACACCATCTCCACATCTAGTTCATGCTCCAGACATAAATGATGACACTGGTCCTGTGTATCCTGCTGCTGACCCGTCAACACCTGGCCCGTCAGGTGTGAGGTGCCCTCTCTTCACGTCCACACCTAGTGCTGAAGCTGAATCTGATGAAGATAATTCATATTCACACAGTCTTCGTGGTGTAGTGGTAAGACACTCGCCTGGCGTTCCGCGAGCGCTATGTCATAGGTTCGTATCCTGGCCGGGGAGGATTTACTGGGCGCAATTCCTTAACTGTAGCCTCTGTTTAACGCAACAGTAAAATGTGTACTTGGATGAAAAAACGATTCTTCGCGGCAGGGGATCATATTCCAGGGACCTGCCCGAAACGCTACACGTACTAGTGGCTGTACAAGAATGTAACAACTCTTGTATATATCTCAAAAAAAAAAAAATAAAAAAAATATTCTACATTCGTGTTTGAAGACAATTGTGAGAGCGACGATTCAGACAGTAGTTTATTGCCAACCCAGAGACAACAGCGACGTGTTGTTATA